AAATTTTGTTGCGGCTTTCGCTAGGTCTGGTCATGACCTTTTTAACGAGAAGGGGGTCCCCTGGAGCGTGATACATTAGAGAACAATGAGAAACTTAAGTGTCTGCAGATGCAGATGCAAGCTCAACAGTGTCCATCTTATGCACTGAAAATAGAAAGGTCATACTTCTGACCGCTTACACGGTCTTACTGAAATGTACGACCGAAAAAGGGTCATACTGAAATGTAAGACCGAAAAAAGGTCATACTTCGTTGTATGACCGAAAAACGGTCATACTATATAGTTGGCTGAGCGATAGCGAAGCCTGTTACTCCAGTGCGGTCGAAAAGTTTTTTCTGTCTGTCTGTCTGTCTGTGTACACTACTCCTCCTGAACGGCTCGGCTGATCTGGCTGAGATTTTGCAGGCTTATTGGGTATGTTCTTGGCTCGGCACACGCGAAATTTCACTATCCTAGCTCACGTGGTTCAGTTTTTATAGCCGAAAAACTCCTAAAAAACGGCGAAAAATCGAGTTTTCTGCAGGCAGATCTGTCCTGTTTTGATGGAAGGGGGGTCTGGGGGGCTCCGCCCCCCAGCTTCGACAAGTTTAAAAGTTACAAGGGTCAAGATCGTGTTCTTTGTAGATGAAGCAACTCTACAGAAGTAACCGACAGTGGACAAGCATTGCCTGCCGAAGGCAGGCTAGCGCCGCAGGCCAAGGTAGGTGCGCCAGGCGCGGATTGGGGGAACAGGCAGCGAGACATCGCGAAGCCTGTTACGACAAGACGCGGTCTGGCGTAAACCTACCTTAACCCGTGATACACATATCACGGGTAAAGGCTGATATATCCCCAAGCTAAACAATAGCCAGTCTCGCTGATATTTAAGTATGACCGTTTTTCGGTCATGCATTTGTGTATGACCGTTTTACGGTCATACTTTTTGTATCACCGAAAATTGGTCAGATGTCTCAACCTTTAAATTTCAGTGTGCTTTTAAAAAAAAATTTTGTTTTATTTTTGGCGCCTCACTACGCCCACAATTTAGTGACCAGATTCTATGTCACATGTATCGTGTGATCAAGTTGTGTATTAATGTTGTAAATGTGTTGGGTATTTATTGGCTGAGCGATAGCGAAGCCTGTTACTCCAGAGCGGTTGAAAAGTTTTGTCTGTCTGTCTGTGTACACTACTCCTCCTGAACGGCTCGGCCGATCTGGCTGAGATTTTGCAGGCTTATTAGGTATATTCTTGGCTCGGCACACGCGAAATTTCACTGTCCTACCTCACGTGGTTCAGTTTTTACAGCCGAAAAACACCTAAAAAGCGGCGAAAAATCGGGTTTCCTGCAGGCAGATCACTTCTGTGTTGAAGAAAGGGGGTCTGCGGGGCGGAGCCCCCCAGCCACGCGAAGTTAAAAAGTTACAAGGATCAAGATCGTGTTATCTGTAGATCAAGCAGCTTTATCTTGAATGAAGGGGGGTCCAGCATGCATTAAGTAAGAAGTAACCGACGATGGACAAGCCATCGCCTGCCGAAGGCAGGCTAGCGCCGCAGGCCAAGGTAGGTAGGCCAGGCGCGGATCGGAGGAACAGGCCGCGAGACATCGCGAAGCCTGTTACGACAAGACGCGGTCTGGCGTAAACCTACCTTGTTATTATTGAAGTTGTTTAAAAAAATATATATAAAAAACCCACAACAGTATCACCTGGCGCTCGGTCCACGGGCCCGACTTTCGGCAGTTGGCCAGCAGGATCTGGGATCAAGGGGGTTGACCGACTGAACTTTGAGTGTCGTTTTTGATAGGTCTTGGCAAGACTTCTCAACTAGGGGTACACTGAGAAAACCTTACAAACTATTTTCGGCATTTCGAAGAAAATTAGTTTTTATAACAAAGTATTTTGAGCATACATAAGCTTACAAAGAAAATACTTCGTAATTCACGAACTATTTCTTCGTACAACTAAGTATTTTAGTTTGATACATGTGTGCTCAAGATACTTCGTAAGGTTTCAAGAGTGTAGAAAAGAGGGTTCAGGAGCCCGAACATTTGCGTTGAGGCAATCGGTGCCACGGATTCGCTTTCCAGTCCTGCGGGGCCGCGGTTGCAATGAGTTGTAGCTGCTGAGCTTGCCGAGGGCAAGCAGGAAGCGCCGCAGGCCAAGGTAGGCGTGCACACCAGGCATGGATTGTCGTAACTGGCGTAGCATCGCGAAGCCTGTTACGACAAGCCGCGTCCTAGCGTACACCTACCTCCTTAGTTCATCTTTCACTTCTGTTGAGTTATTTATGCTTTGTTTTATTAATACATGTTGATTTAGTATGTGTGACAAGTTTCATGTCGTTTCCTATGTTTTGGAGGGTGCTGATGACGAAAATAGAACCCATTTTGACCACCGACCTTAAGTAAAGTCCCATTAGTAAAGAATTTGATCACCAAATTCCAATTTTTTGTGGGGATCACGCCCATCTCTACGGCCTGCCTAGGGAAGTAGCCTGCCGAAGGCAAGCTAGCGCCGCAGGCCAAGGTAGGTGTATACGCCAAGCGTGGATTGTCGAAACTGGCGCAGCATCGCGAAGCCTGTTACGACAAGACACGGTCTGGCGTACACCTACCTTGCGGATTTTTAACAGTGTTGTTACAAAGGTCATTAGACGTGTTGCCTACTTCACTACATGAGCGACTTACTGACGTGAAATGAAAGCGAGCTTGCAGTGCATTGTGTCGAGCCCACGCCACAGTGTTTCACTCTAGGGTGATTCCCCGCGTAGAGGGCGTTTTCGTGTCCACACCCTCCCCAGAGCGAACTTATTCGAACGCAGTCCATTTGTACACTTAAGAATCTTGTTTGGCACTAGACTAACTTGTTCCCTTTCTATACGGACTTTCAAAGCTAACATTGGGACGCAGGAGAGGGGCCCAAAGGGTCGATTTTGTAAGTTCCGTCATGTCCATTCGCACCTTACACCAACTTTGCGGCTCTATAACCCTTTGTTCCATTCAAATCTTCGAATTCTACACACACCCATCAAATTTCTAATTAATAGTGACTATCTTGCTCGAATTCGAAGATCGTTTATTGATTGGAAGTGTACTTTCAGAACGCGTACTAAATGTCCACCGTACTCCGACTTTTACCGAAGCGGTTTCTAAGTAAGCACCACAAAAACTACTAGGAGTGCTCGCTGCTTAAAACCACCGCCGTATTTAGAATCAGCACGGTCTGTTCACAGTATGAACGAGTTTTGGTAGCGATAAAGCGAGGGGGGTGAGAGTGCGAGTGGAAGTTGCGTGTGAAATCGGTGGGTTGTAACAATTAGTGTAATTTCCGTATGCCCCTCTCGCTCCTCTTCTATCGGGTTTTGAAAGACATCCTATACGTGCAAAGATGTGTCTTGACGTCGAACTAGTGTGCCAAACTTATGGCATATTTCTGTGGCGATAGGCATTTGCAGTGAGCCAGAAACACCTGTTTGTAACTTCCGTCAAGCGCAATTTCCGTCATATTTTCAGTAAATTCCGTCATATATCATAGGGGGAGAAAACGAAAGTCAACTTGTAGCTCGCTGACGCTCAGAGTGCCTTCTGGGGTTCAATTGATGCCATCTTGGCAAAATTCCGGCCGAACAAGCAAGATTGATTACGTGACTTCCTAAGGTTGCTAAAACGACCCTTACGCACGGAATCGCCCTCTAAATATTGTTCAGTGAGGATTATCCAAATTATGGTGAAAATGTTCCATATTATGGTGGTGCGCCTGACTTCATAACATACCATTGAGAATTCACTGTTCCTTAGTTAAAGATATTTTGACGGCTTTAGTTTACATTTTGGAGAAAATCGCCGCAATATGGTGCTGCAGCCTTTCACCGGAAGACATTTACAGTGTTCAGATCTTTTTAGCAGATGATACAATGCATAAAGACCTCCATTAAACGTAACTAGTAGTTGGCCGAGCGATAGAGAAGCCCGTTACTCCAGTGCGGTTGAAAAGTTCTGTCTGTATGTCTGTGTGTGCGCCGCAGGCCAAGCTAGGTGTATACGCCAGGCGTGCATTGTCGAAACTGACGCAGCATCGCGAAGCCTGATACGACAAGACACGGTCTGGCGTACACCTACCTTGCCAACTTTTTACTGACATTTGTTGTCATTTTAAGTTTTACGTCATTTCATGTTTTGGGGGGTGCTGGTTATGAAAATAAAATCCATTTCAACCTTTGACCTAGGTGGAAGTCCGAATGGGTCAAAACTTAGCCATTATTGTAGGGGCGTCGAACCAAAAATGCCATGCAGTTTGCCCAGCGAACCAACCTGGTCGCCCTGTACTGGAACGGGGGGTCTGGGGCGCGGAGCCCCCCCTCGCAGTCAGAAACATTGAAACCGAAAGACGCTTTGACGTGCGATCAGGTCTTTTAGTGTGGTGATGTGTGGCGAGAGTTTGCCGAAGGCAGGCCACCGCCCACCGCCGCAGGTCAAGGTAGGTGTAAACGCCAGGCGTGTATTGTTGGAACGGGCGCAGTATCATCGCGGAGCCTGTTACGACAAGCCACTGTCTGGCGTACACCTACCTTGTATAGACCTTTCCGGGCTAAGCTTCTTGTACAATAACCCAATCTTTGCGCCGCCACACTGTAAGACCCAACCTATTTGCAGCGAAATGGCATTAAACTCGTTGTTGTTGATACTCCAGTAGACACCGGGTTCAATGCCGTTTCGCCACAAATGACCTGGATCTTAAAGTGTGGCGGCGCAAAGATCCGAGTGTACTGAACAAGTTGCTTAGCCCGGAAAGGTCTATTTTTGTCTTCTATTACCAACACCAGCCTTAATAAAAGATTTAAATGCAAGTAGATCCTGCGAGCCACGCTTTACGAAACAGAATCATCTGCTTTGACGTTTTGGACTTTCCTGAACTATTTTGGATCGAAAATAAGCACTCAAAAACATATTCCAGTGTTCAGATGTTTTCTTGGATTAAAAAGAAGCACCCCAAAATATAGTCATGTACTTTATTTCAAACCACGTTTTCCCTCTCTCCGTCAACACTCCCCCCGCTCGCGAAGCGCACAGCCATCTCCCGCTCGGCCCACGCGTCCGGCCGCACGCGCAGCACCGTCTCGCCCTCCGGGGCGTCCAGGACAGCCTCCTGGGCGGGCCCGCCGCGCAGCCTCAGCGCCACGCCCTGCGGCCGCCGCACCGCCGTGAACACGAGCTCGCCCGGCGCCAGCACGGGCCGCACGTGGGCCTCCTGCTCGGGAAAGATCTGCGGGCAGAGAGACGAGGTTAAGTTTCCTGCAGTGTCAGACGTTTTGTCGTAAATTAGCGACAAAAACGTCGCTAATTTTGATAGCGTCAGAAATCGTTCTGAAACTACTTCGTCGTAACTGAACGACTAAAAAATCATTTCTCTACGACAATGTCGTAATCGCTAGAACACATTTTGAAATCTGAAATTCCCGAGAAATAGATGAAAAGTTGCAATTTTGCTCGCGTATTTACGATTTGCGTCGTTCATTTACGATTCATTACACAAATTTACGAAGAGATTCGTAAATGTACGACTGAAGTCATAACTGCACGACACATTCCATAGATAAATTACGATCGTTCGTAAACTTACGATTAAGTCGTAAATTTACGACTTAATTCGTTTCAAAACGGAACGTCTCGCTATCAAAATTAGCGACAAATATGTCGTAACAAAATATGTCGTTTCAAAACGACAATTGTTTCACAAAATGTCGTAAATTTACGATTATTTTTTAGAGTGTGCGGCCCCCTTCCTTCCAGGAGCGTGCCTTTGTCATTCTCGTTCGACTGTGAATAAGCCAGTCTACGGCTGATTCAGTAACTAACGAATGTGACACAATGCTCAAAGGAACCTAACATTCTGTCACAACCGTTCATCGTTTCAACGAGATACTACGATCCTGGAATAAGTATGCACGCACTGTGAAAATTTCATCTTGATGACAATTTCTTAACTTAATTTCCTTACAAGGGTCATCGAATAATCGTTTGATGACTTGGATGTCACGCCCATGCTTAGTACAAGAGCTTTGATGAAAGTGTCCATGTGCATGTGATGACATTGTAATCATTCGCAAGTGATGAAAACATGTCATCCACGATTTTGCCATGAACTGACTGCCAACACACAACCAATCCAACTGTCTCCTAAAGTACACACACACTAACTGCATGCTTGGCTCCGTGACTCCGTGCCACGCATGTGCAGTTTGGAAGTGCGGACTTGGTAGACCGTTAGGTTTGTCATCTGGCCAACTTACAGACGACTGCCCGACTCCGCACAAGTGCCCTTGCTGATTGCACTTCTGGAGGAAGTGCATGGTGCGATCGGGAAACGGCGTGCTGGTGTCGCGTGTGTCGCTGGATGACGCCTTCGCCCCGAAGCTCAGTCGCGAGCACTCGGTGGCGTTGCAGAGCAAGAAGCGCACCGCCTTGTGCGCCTCCAGGAAGCCGACGTTGATTGAAGTCACATCGCCAGGCGACATGGGAACCGACGGGACGGCGACATCTGTCGGCATTCAGGAGATGCGTGTTTTCGTGTACACTACAAACCTCAGAGGCATTTTTTTTAAGAAGTCCGATCGTGGAACACGACCGATGCCGATTTGGTACAGTGAAGAAATGTCCGCAGGTAAATGTCCGGTCCCTTTTTGTCCAGGGGCAAACCAGGGCCAATAAGCAGGTCCCAAAATGGACCATTGACGATTTGGCCCATTTTTGGCTCAAATGTCACCTACCCATAGGTAAACATCGGGGTAAAATTTCAGCCACCTAGGTGTCGTTTCATAGGAGTTACGGGCAATCTTAGTTTTTGACTTTTTTTCTTAAGTGGTTTTTGACCAAATTGCTACAATTTCCAAAAATCCCTCTCAAGTCTACAGTTTTGCCCCTAGTTGGCTGTAAGCCCGTTCTTCAACGTAAAATTGCATGAGGAATTCGATTTCAGGGCCCAAACGGACCCCTGGGCAGTCTATCATAGAGAAAAACGCCAATTTTGACGAAAAATCACTTTTTTTAAGGTTTTACGTCGGTGCGTTTTAAAGCTAGACCCGAATCCAAACTTGGTCAACTCTATGCGGGAAATCGTACCTCATACTACCACCTAAAATAGCACGGCTCGACATTTGGGTGGTATGGGTATGGTTTGAGCGCTGCAGCCTTGGGAACTTTTAAATTATGAAAAACTAGCAAATTCCTCCTTACGGCGAGGTCAACCCTCCTGCATTGGCTGTTTCGGGTTCAACTGAGGCCCCGCGGTAAGATTTAAGTTAGAAAGGTCCTTCTTACCCACTTACCCCTCACTACCAGCACTGACCCTCTGATAAGAGCACTGAGGTCACTTTTGGGTCCATGGCTGCAGCCAAAATGACAGAATTGACGAAACGCCTGAAGGGCAGGCAACTTATCCTACGCGCCTGAAGGAGTTATCCTACGCATGAGGGGGGCTGTTCTGGTCTAATAAAACATGTAGTCTAACATCTGCTTCTTTTATTTTAAAGAGGATAATGGTCACAATTTCGACAAATTTGGCAGTTATATAAAATACTAAGCTAGGAACAAAACTTGGCTCATTATACATTGAGCTTACATCGTAAATTGCTGATCATTACATTGAGGGGGGACCCTGGTGAAACTTTCAAGTAGGCTTCAAAATAATCCCAGAAAGTTGAAACTATGCTTTATTATTAGGTTCATTATGGTGAGTTCCCAAAACAAAATTCAATCCAAAATGTTGAACGGTCTCTGAGAAAAGTGGCTTTTTAGTGTTTTTTAGAGCGTTGGGGAAAAATCTTCCTGCGTCTTTCATTGGGACGGAAAGTCTTGAAAATTTTTTTGGGTTATCCTAAAGATGTATAGAAGAGATTTTAGTGACGGAATTTTCAAATTCAACTTCTGTCCTGAGATATGAGTTTTCAAATTTAAACATTTAAAAAAAGTGATTTTTTCCCCTTTTTTCAAACTTTTAGGTGTGTTTTAAAAAAAGTAGGGCTGGTATCAAGATTCCGTCACTAAAATTTGTCGATAAGTCATCAATGAATAGAGTCCATGCAAGACGACTCATGTAGGTATCAACCAGGAACGCAGGAAGTCTTTCTACGACAAAATTTTTTGTCGACTGAGCAAAGCTGTGAAGTTGAGCGTAGAAGCCAACGACAACTGATCTCAATGTTATTTCCTTCCAAATTATAAAGAAACTACCCACTTAGCTTAAAGGTGTTCAACCTGTTGAATCTGAAACCTTCTATGCACATTTTTATCATGAACTTTGAAAATACTATTTTTTTGGAATTTTGGCGATTTTTTCACCAGGGTCCCCCCTTAAACTAAGAACACAACTTTGCTAAAAATACGTTCACGACCGGACTCGTTTTGGGCAAACTTCCGCTCAGGACCGGAGTCTGTTTCGACCAAACCGTGCATCTCCTAGACCTCGCGACTTGATATAAGCACGAATCATGCAATAACAAAACCAACCAGCCGAAAAAAAAATCCGGGAACCCCGTGCCCGGACATGTCCAGTCTCGAAACACCGTCCCCGTACGTAAAAGCGGCCCAGTAAGCTAAATGAGGGTATTTTCGGAATCAGCGGAGGGACCACAGGCCATTCGCGCGTTCCCGCATCTAATGACCGTCCGGGCACGGGGTTCCCGGATTTTTTTTCGGCTGGTTGGTTTTGTTATTGCATGATTCGTGCTTATATCAAGTCGCGAGGTCTAGGAGATGCACGATTTGGTCGAAACAGACTCCGGTCCTGAGCGGAAGTTTGCCCAAAACGAGTCCGGTCGTGAACGTATTTCAAGCAAAGTTGTGTTCTTAGTTTAGTGTAATGATCAGCAATTTACGATGTAAGCTCTATGTATAATGAGCCAAGTTTTGTTCCTAGCTTAGTATTTTATCTAACTGCCAACTTTGTCGAAATTATGATCATTATCCACTTTAAAATAAAAGAAGCAGATGTTAGACTACATGTTTTATTAGACCAGAACAGCCCCCCTCATGCGTAGGATAACTCCTTAAGGCGCGTAGGATAAGTTGCCTACCCTTCAGGCGTTTCGTCAATTCTGTCATTTTGGCTGCAGCCATGGACCCAAAAGTGACCTCAGTGCTCTTATCAGAGGGTCAGTGCTGGTAGTGAGGGGTAAGTGGGTAAGAAGGACCTTTCTAACTTAAATCTTACCGCGGGGCCTCAGTTGAACCCGAAACAGCCAATGCAGGAGGGTTGACCTCGCCGTAAGGAGGAATTTGCTAGTTTTTCATAATTTAAAAGTTCCCAAGGCTGCAGCGCTCAAACCATACCCATACCACCCAAATGTCGAGCCGTGCTATTTTAGGTGGTAGTATGAGGTACGATTTCCCGCATAGAGTTGACCAAGTTTGGATTCGGGTCTAGCTTTAAAACGCACCGACGTAAAACCTTAAAAAAAGTGATTTTTCGTCAAAATTGGCGTTTTTCTCTATGATAGACTGCCCAGGGGTCCGTTTGGGCCCTGAAATCGAATTCCTCGTGCAATTTTACGTTGAAGAACGGGTTTACAGCCAACTAGGGGCAAAACTGTAGACTTGAGAGGGATTTTTGGAAATTGTAGCAATTTGGTCAAAAACCACTTAAGAAAAAAAGTCAAAAACTAAGATTGCCCATAACTCCTATGAAACGACACCTAGGTGGCTGAAATTTTACCCCGATGTTTACCTATGGGTAGGTGACATTTGAGCCAAAAATGGGCCAAAACGTCAATGGTCCATTTTGGGACCTGCTGATTGGCACTGGTTTGCCCCTCCATCGATTTTTCGTCCATGCATGTAATGTCCAAGGTAGAATGTCCCATAATATAATGACCACCCCTAATAAAGGCCTGAGGTTTTTTCGGCACCGAACGAATGTGGCCGACAGTAGTGGCACTGCGGCTGCTCCGAAACTCATAGCAGCACGATCGAGGGGGCAAAAACTCGCGCAATCATGTGTACACGGCCCCCGAAATCACACGCGAATTATTGAGAATCACGCGTAAGCAAGCAATCCGAAATCAGCCAAAATCACTAAAATCGACCGAAATCAGGCAGAATCACACGAAACCAGGCCAAATTTGCGTACAACATCAAGGTGCAGCCAGATAGATTGTCTGATGCCGAGCCAGCGATTGGCAAATGGCAAGCCAATGATTGATAAATCCTAAATGATATTTGGAAGCCATGCCAAATAAAATTATTTGGGATCGGACTTGGTTAATTTATGTCACTATGGATAAACAAAAAGTTTGACATTTAAAAATGAGGCCAAATAATTTGGGGGCATTCTTTCCACACGGACATGTTTCTTCACCGGACATTATTTCCTAATGGACATAAATTTAATGGTCATTTTTTCTGCGGACATTAGTTCCTGAAACCTGCCGATTTCCTCCATTTTTTGGTCAAAGGTAGTCCTTGTGAGCGATTCTCACGTTTCGGGGTAGTTTCGTTTCTTCTGACTCATGTGCCCAAACGAGCGCAGATATCGACATGGGGTTTGTTTCTGATGTTAGGGAGGGCCATTGCCCACTAAACGCACACATTTCGAAAAGTTCTCGTTCGTTGGATTGGTCTACGTAACGTTTGGAATACCCCAAATGTAACTTCCGTGATTGTCCAAAGAGAACATACTCGAACTTTCCGCCCCCAGTGTGGCGGTAAGGTTCGAAAATGCTGCCCACAGTCGATGGGGATTCGAAGCTTGGCATGTCTCGAGCTAATTTCAACCGAAGACCAATACGCCAGACTTCTTTCAAAGGTACTTATGCTGCAACGAAAAATGTCCTCCGTATATTCAATTTAACTACACAAATTTCGAAAAGGCAGCTCTGGACTTCTCCCCAAGCCAAACTTTTAACTTTCCATGACACAAGCCATCAAAGTGGAGTCCCTGGGATATAATTGCATGGGTCGCGGAAATCTAAGATGCTGTATACGGTCTCAAAGCGGGCTAGAGCATTATAAAATGGCGTGTATCAACAATTACCTGTAACTTCCGTGGCACCCTTTACCCAATGTTGCAGCAGCACTAGGTGAAAAAGTTTTCCGCTGAAATGTCGGGCTTAGAGTATCATTTGACCCTGGAACGACTTTGAAGCCACAGCAAACCCGAGTCAGCCGTTAAAGCTGATTTTTACACTTTGTAACTTCCGTGATAACGTAATTTCCGTGATCAAAACACCCACTAAAACGTATGGGAATACCTTATGGCTCATGTTTTTAGGAAGATAGTACAAGGTCTTTACTATAAATACCATTGCCAGAACTCTAGTATCATCCAGGACCCCAATAATCAGAAAAACTTAATTGGATATTTCTCACTTTCGGCAAATCAGAGACGCCAAAACTACCCCGAAACGTGAGAATCGCTCTTGTGAGTCTAAGAAAGGCCACAAATTTTCTGGGCCGAAATATGCACCGTTCAGATTCTATGGGCAATTTTCGTTTTCTCTGACAACTTTTCACATACTATGGCCAAAATTGAAAAATCACCTTTCTGAGGCCTCTATGCACTCGATTGAGCTCAAAATGTGTTATCTTATGTAAAATCACGCGAGGAACACGAATCCGGTGCCCGTTTGTTGATAGGACAACCCAAACGGATGTTATGACTGTTTTTCAGGTTTTGTAGTGGTTTTTACTTTTCTTGGGGTTTTGGTGTTCGGCATCGATTTTCGCCAATCCGATGAGTGGATTTTATAGATAAAGGACCAATCTATCATACTACGAGATAAAAAGTTTGTGTACGCCGCGTGAAAAGCAGTGGCGCTGCAAAAATTGAAAAACCGTCATTTCTGGGTAGTTTTAGATCAGATAAGCCACCTTTCGCGTGACCGTCTCCGCCCCATATTCAGTCTAAATACTGTCCCAAGTGATGTCAGAGTTGGTGTGAAATTTCACCGCTGTAGCTCAAGTAGTTTTGGGAAAATGGCAGCTTTCTAAAGTTTTGCAATCACGTAAGGCATTTACTTTAAGTAGAATTGCGGTAAATGTGAAGACTTGTCTTAGATCGGGTAATAAATGAGATAGATGAGTGCGTCAAAGTTCTCTCAGCGTAATTTTGGACAAGGAATCCGATTTTGCCGGTACGAAGACCCTAGGTGTACTCTAAAACTAATTTTTCGTGCAAACCACATAAAAATGGCCTTTTTTCCTACTTCAGAGTTCGCCTAGGGTCTTCGTACCAGCAAAATCGGATTCCTTGTCCAAAATTACGCTGAGAGAACTTTGACGCACTCATCTATGTCATTTATTACCCGATCTGTGACAAGTCTTCACATTTACCGCAATTCTACTTAAAGTAAATGCACTGATAAAAATTTTGTCGTAACTTAGCGACACATTTATTGCTAACTTTTTTAGCGACAAGATTTGTTGTGGAACAAATAGCTTGTTAAACCGTAGGCGTATTGGAACTAAGGGATAATTTCACAACGACTAAATTGTAATAACGCACCAACAATGACACATCAACGACAAGTATTGAAAGTTCAAAAGGTGTTTTGTAATGTCTGCGACAATATTCATAGAGTAATTTTGTCGCTAAATTTATTAAGCATGGTTTTTTAAACATTAGTAATTTCCCTATGACTTAGAAGAACAAAATAGATGATTATTCATAATTTGCTTTAATTGAGCAGATAATTGCAAAAGATGTTGTTTCCACATAAATTGTATCGTAAAGAGTGATAACAAGAATTTTGTCCTTCAACGACAAAATGTCGCTTACTAGACTCAACGACATTTGTTTCGCTTTGGTTCATGATGAAATTCTATGTTTTGGAACGACTAAATTTTCACTCATCTGATTATTTCTGTACAACCATTTTTTAACAGTGTGCCTTACGTGATTGCAAAACTTTAGAAAGCTGCCATTTCCAAACTACTTGAGCTACAGCGGTGAAATTTCACACCAACTCTGACATCACTTGGGACAGTATTTAGACTGAATATGGGGCGGAGACGGTCACGCGAAAGGTGGCTTATCTGATCTAAAACTACCCAGAAATGACGGTTTTTCAATTTTTGCAGCGCCACTGCTTTTCACGCGGCGTACACAAACTTTTTATCTCGTAGTATGATAGATTGGTCCTTTATCTATAAAATCCACTCATCGGATTGGCGAAAATCGATGCCGAACACCAAAACCCCAAGAAAAGTAAAAACCACTACAATCCCGTGTAAAAACGAATTGTTCCGAAATCCTGCCGCCAGGCGTCCGAAAGAGCCCCCGCCACCTCGGGCTGTCCCCAGAAGTGTCCGAATGCCTTCGGACGATTCCGTGGTTAGTCCGCGAAGGGGCCGCTGTTCGGACGGGCCAGACCGATATGTGTCCGGGACTCCCTGGAAAGTCCGGGTCGGTCCGCCAGGAGTCCGGGGCAGCGGACATACCCGGAATACGTCCGAGGAAAGTCTCCCCTCCGGACTGTTTTCGGAACTCTGTACCGTTTCCCCCTCGCTTTGGGACTTAGACAAATATTCCTCTAGCGGAGCTACAGTTGAGGTGTGTCGAAGTGATTCCGCAATGTTCAATCTCAAACATTCGCCTTTCGTAAAGGAAATTTAGAAAAAAAAATTAATTGGAAATACAGCAATTTTTTGTCGTTACTATGTGCCGAAACAAATACCACAAAACGTGGTTAAAATTGCAAGAATGCATTCAGTCAATTAATTTAAATTGTTTCGTACAACCGGAGAAACATGAAACTTTAAATACAGGTATGCATAAGAAAATGTGCTTGACGTAAAATATTTTAAATTCGAGGTCCCCCTGAGAAATCCCCACTCCTCTATCTTGAAAATCGCGCCTCCCAGCGCCCAGAGGAAGGAGCGGAGCGGAGAGCGCAGCGCAGAGTCAGTGAAGAGGCTCACCGGAGCCCCCAGTCCTCATCTGTCGGGTTAGCTCAGTTGGCTCCGACGTCAGCACTGGTGTGCAAAGAAAGAGAGGAAGGTAGGAAGCGAGGGTTCGAATACGGCTTGCCTCTGGCTTACCACCGTCGGATTTTTTTCGGAACCGAGACTCGGACAGTCCGAAACCAGCCCGCATTTCGGTTTTCGGACACATCCGTAAAGTTGCCGATTTGGGAACATTCTGGAGCTTCGTCGGACTAGCCCGACGGACTTCTTTCGGGCTGGAACCCCGCTCGGACGGATCTCGGAGCAAATAATTTTTATAAGGGTAAAACCTGAAAAACAGTCATAACATCTGTTTGGGTTGTCCTACCAACAAACGGGCACCGGATTCGTGTTCCTCGCGTGATTTTACATAAGATACCACATTTTGAGCTCAATCGAGTGCATAGAGGCCTCAGAAAGGTGATTTTTCAATTTTGGCCATAGTATGTGAAAAGTTGTCAGAGAAAACGAAAATTGCCCATAGAATCTGAACGGTGCATATTTCGGCCCAGAAAATTTGTGGCCTTTCTTAGACCCACAAGGACTACCTTTGACCTAAAAATGGAGGAAATCGGCATCGGTCGTGTTCCACGATCGGACTTCTTAAAAAAAATGCCTCTTACTGTCGCTACTTAGTACGCACTTACAAACACATTGCTTGGCCAAGTACACACTCACAAACGCATGCTTGGCGCCGTATAACTCCATGCTAAGCATAGGCATTTGTAAGTGTGTACTTGCAAGCATGCATTTTTAAGTGCGTAGTTAGTAGACAGTGAGGTTTGTGGTGTACCTACAACACACTAAATTCTTGTGGACTTTTATATGCATAGTTATGCATGCGCAGAAACGTCCATATGTTATGTATAATATTATGCATCACTGTGTACATTTTATGCAGGAAGATGCATAAAATGTACACAGAGATGCATAATATTTTACATACCTTATGGACGTTTCTGCGCATGCATAACTATGCATGAAAAATGCGTCCTTATGCATTTAAAAAGTCCCTAAGAATTTAGTGTGAAAAGAGATAAAAGCGCCGTTGATCCGCAGGCTAAACTCAATAAAATCTAGCCTGTTGCTTTTTGTTCTTTTAAAAAAATGTTAAAAATAGTTTCGTTGTATTGCTCAAGCTTTTATCCCGTTTACGCGAGGGGATGGGCCAAACTCGCCCAATTAATATTATCAGCACCATCGCGGAGAGCTGACTGCCAAAACTACGTTCAAGATCAAGAAAGAGCCCAGTTTATTTCTGCCCCTGCCGCAGACCTACCTTTGAACTCGACGGCGATGTGGTCACCGAGGTCCGCCCTGTCAACGAGGACCGCGAGCTCCCCGACGCTCCACGGCCATATGGGCAGCTTGGCCTTCTGCTCGGGACGCCCTTTTGGCCACACAAGGAGCTCGGTCGGCTCCGCAATTCCCAGCGCAGGCCCTCGCCACTCCACCGACAGCTCCAGCCAGCCGGCCGGGAAGTCTGTGCCGACATCCTGAAAACGGGCCACGATTGAGAAAAACTACTGATCATGAGCTAGTGGTGTTACAATGCTTCAAAACTGAATCGAATCAGCGCATATTCAATTCAAAAACCAAAAACGAATTTTCTGTTAAGAGCAAAACCGAGGGGTGAATCACCCAGCGTTCCAGTGTACACTTGAGTACGTGAGTACGGATGAGAACACCTTCTACACACTCAGACTGTTATTGACTTTTAATCTTTAGTTACAGAGTATTTCACACAGCAATAAAAAGTACTATTGCCTCAATATCTTTGTAAGATTTTTTTTCGTTAAAATGACTTATAGTCAGTTTGCCATAGACAAAGTGTCAGTACGCAATTGACTTGAAAAATAGTCAATAATTGATGACAATTTAGTCTATAAAGTGAACAATATTGTAAATGGGTGCAAAGGAAATACTACATATTGTTGCTGCTTAAAAAACTGCGTAAACAAAGGATTAACAGTCAATAATGGGGAGAGAAAAGTCAATACGTGTCTGAGAGTGTATAAATGCACGTGACGGGACAAAAATGCGCGCAGGAAGCTACACTGAGATTCCAAACGCTATGAGTATAGCACGTATGGTGCAATGCAGCTGGGATATCGCACCATACGTGCAATGCCAAAGCCATATTGCACCTTACGTGCAATGCATCCCGAAAAGGCCCTATGCGGGGAGGCATTGCACACTTCATGTGCAATGCTTTTGCATTGCACCAATTGACGCTATAATTACTCATAGCGTTTGGATTCTCAGTGTAGCCAGTACTTACGAAATCTGGGCTGTTCCCCTGGCAGGCGTCGCCCTCCGAGGTGCAGCGCGCCCCGGCACGGTAGTTGAGCCCGCCGTCCGCCTTGAAGCCCCGGAGCGTGAGCGCCGCGCAGAGTCCGATGGAGGAGCACAGCACCAGGCGCAGGCCTACCGCTCCACGCGGCATGCGGACGCGGACGGTCTTCAGGTCGCCGACCACGAGGGCGGTTCGAGGGACACCCACTACGCACACAGAATAGGATGCCCTCGCGCGTTAGCACCAATGCCAGTGTTGCCAGGGCCAGGAAATTAGACGGAGAGGAGCGCAAACACACAGGTGAAACAAAGCCATAAGAACAACTTTTGAACGGAGTGACTTGTGTCATGCTCTTGGGAATGGCGGGAACTGGTATAGGACATTAAGGGGGCTCATACATGTTAAAAGCACTTTTTTAAAAAAAAGTTTTGATGTAGACGGATTAAGATTTTACAATTTCTGTGTTAAAATCCTTTTAGATAATTGAGTAAGCTTCATTTTGGCTTAAGGGAAAGTGACTTTGGACATTTTTTGGAGATTTAGTCGAAACGTTAAAAATTTTGCTTCTCGTAAGATTTTGTTCGCATACTTGCTCAGATCTGTGGGGAAAAAATCAGGGAGACTCATCCCCAGTAGTGTCATAGAATTGACTAGAATGGGCTTTATATCTGCAATAGTTTTCAAGAAAAAAAATAAAAACAATTTTTTTAACAATTTTTTAAACAAATTTTTCAACAAAAAATTGTTTTTATTTTTTTTCTTGAAAACTATTGCAGATATAAAGCCCATTCTAGTCAATTCTATGACACTACTGCGGATGAGTCTCCCTGATTTTTCCCCACAGATCTGGCAAGTATGCAACAAAATCTTACGGGGAACAAATTTTAAACGTTTCGACTAAATCTCCAAAAAATGTCCAAAGTCACTTTCCCTTAAGCCAAAATGAAGCTTATTCAATTATCTAAAAGGATTTTAACACAGAAATTGTAAAATCTTAATCCGTCTACATCAAATTTTTTTTTTAAAAAAGTGCTTTTAACATGTATGAGCCCCCTTAAGGCACAATTTTATTGCCCTCCCAAAGGCTTAAAATAATTGACGCCCTTGAATGGCGTGAAAGAACTGTCTAAGCGCTTACAAGTGTCCAGGACGACCGCATGCCTGTGTGTTCGGGCTACATCTCTACAAGCTTAAGTGTGTACATAGTATACTCCACCTGGTGCATGCCTGGCATGTACACACTCCAGGTTGGCGTGTGCATTCCAAGGACACGCCAGGTGGCGCATACCTTCAGGTACACTGTTGCTGAAGCTCCCTGTTCTTTGAGTGTTAGATCGGGCAGCTGTATACCTTCAGGTTTGCGCCACCTGGCGTGTACTTGGCAAGTACATGCCAACCTGGAGTGTACATGCTAGACATGCTCTGTGGAGCTCCATGGAGGTGGAGTGTATACTACACTTGAGTTTGTAGAGTTTTTGCCTTTTCTGGCAGCGCACTGGTAAAAACAAAAATAACTCAAATACGTGCCATACGAGCAAAGGAGCAAAGTGAAAAGATCTTATGTGCGTTTTGAACATATTTATTGGAGTGTGCTCGAATGAGTTCGGCAAGTTCACATCTGAGGGAGTGTGGTAATCTCACAACAGGTGCGATTTTGACGAGAGTGCTTGCCCAATTACATTCATAGAGTTGTGAACTTGACAAAGTACACTCGAATAGATGATTACTTGTTGGTACGTGTGCTAAGCTCAAATTGGATTTTGTCGGATTTTGTGGTGTATCTTCTGTACAGTCTGCTAGCTTCCCTACCTTTCTGAAACTGGACGAGCATCCAGCGCTCTCCCCAGGTCTCGGGCCGCACTCGTAGAGTGTAGGCGCCGGGCCGCGCCGGCAGTGTGGCTGCCGGGCCGTCGCTCGCTGCGCCCTCTGGCCGCACGACCAAGGAATCGGCACGGCGCTCCACCGTGAACGAGAGTTGGCGTGCGGTGAGGGCAGGCCACGCGAGGTCCTCGCCCTGCGGGAAGGCCAGAGAAACGGGCACACTTGTAACTAGTACACTCTCATTCCAAGAACGTGACATCACTGAAACGAACGTGACATCATAGAAATTGCAGTTTGTGAATTAAGCACAGATTTCTATGTCATCATAATGACCTGCTCAATGATAAATCAAATTCCCTTGTACCCTGAGTTTACGTTAATCATACAGTGAAATATCGGTTGAGTGAAAATGTCTTTTCGCCGTGCATAATCGACATACATATCTAAGTTTTAGAGTTCATACATTGCTGTAAGGTAATTTAAAAGGGTCCAATTTTTATTGAAATCATCTTAGTTCATTAAGGTTCCTAATTTGATTGAAAAGACTTGCTAATTCACCTTAACGTGCGACCCACTCGCGCAGCCGTGGCCCTGGACGTTGCAGCCCTGCCAGGTGGAAAAGGACGTCCCGTTGGTCTCGCGGTCGGACGGTTGAAGTGACAACCTAGAGCAGGAGGCATCGTCGCAGAGCAACAAACGCAAGCCGTGCAGCGCTTCGGAGTAGTCGTGGACGCGGACCGCGGTCATCTGGCCCTCGAGCAACGAGGTGGACGCGACGATGGGCGGCCCTAAGAAGCCAAGAGAGCACACTGTGAAAATTTGTTGTCACTTTATGACAAAAACGTGGATGATATTTTCACCACTTTCAAATTGATCAAAGCTCCTATACTTATTGCATGGGTGTGACATGGGCGTGCACTTAGTAGACAGTTCGGTCTGTGGTGTTTGCAAGGGTCACTGACCTGAGAAATATATTTTCGCGACGCCCGGGCCCGCTCCCAAAGCTTCAATCTTCAGCGTACCGGCAGTGAAGGGCCAAATCGGGAGCCTAATCTTTTCCCGGTCCGACATAACACGCACAACCAGCTCCGAGGTGGCCTGCGCCTGGAACTCGGACGGTCCCTGCCACTCCACTATCATTTCAGATAACCACGTCACGTCGAAGTCTTTCCCGTTGGCATCCTGCAAACAGAGGAAAAGGAGTAAAGTCTTAGTGTGCTGAATATTCAAATCTTGTCGACACTCGTCTCACTGAGAATCCAAACGCTATGAGTATAGCGTCAATTGGTCCAATACAAAAGCATTGCACATATGAAGTGCAATGCCTCCAAATTCCCATGCATTAGCATAGGGCCTTTTCGAAAAGCATTGCACCAAAGGTGCAATATGGCTGTGGCATTGCACGTATGGTGCGATATCACAGCGCATTGCACCATACGTGCTATACTCATAGCGTTTGGAATCTCAGTGCTGCTGCGGACGCATCCCACGCCAATAGGGCGGGTCATCTGCCACTACATTTCAGATTTAGACCAAATTTGGTTTTTATGTTGGTCAAACTAATGTTTGGTAAAAAAAAATCTCCACAAAAGTTTGTTACATCGTCAAACCGTACGTTAGTCATATGTCATTTGACGTCCCAGTACAATGTCAGGGCATCGATTCACACCCCAAGATTATTACCCTCTGACTCTCTGCGATGGAGAGAAAAAAATAAAGTCACGCCCCTCAGAGTTCGTACCAAAAATAAAATTAAGATTTTCCCTGACATTTCCCTGGCGCGAAATTGCAAGTTTCCCGGACAATTGAGCGCATCACAACATTGGTTGAGTTGAACGCGAACGGCCGGTGTCTTGTGCACTCCTCCGCGGTTGTCCAGCAAACAGGTCCAGTGTCGCAGTAAACATATTTTCCCCTGACATTTTGCCGCATTTTGCGAAATTCCCTGACATTTTTCTGATTTCCCTGCCCTTTTTTTCCCCTGACTTTTACCTGAATTCAAGGCTATATAAACTCCCTTAAAACGCATTTGATCTCGAGATCATTTGATGATGATAATTTCGAAGGAGTACTCACGAAATCTTGGACCATGGCCACACAGCGGCCCCCCACCTCACAGCCAAGCTCAGTGCGGAAGCTGAGCCGTCCGTCGATATTCGAATTTCTCACTGTGAGTCTTCTACACTGTGAGCTTCCAGAACCGGAGGGACAGAGTTCAAACCGCAGTTCTGGCAGTTTTCCTCCGATTTGAAGCGGGATGGACAGAATGTCTCCGACTCTCATGCTGGTGGTAACAACACTCACGCCCTGGGCAGCTTCTTCTGTACAGACAAGCGTCACATGATGCCGTTAAAAACAAAAACAAAGAACTCCTCAACACGTTTGATTGACTGAACACCAACACAATGACTGGCAAAGGTGCCAAAGCAAAAATGTTGCCAAAGGTTCCTTTGTAAATTCACTTAGATTTTTCGTTTGATACGGAGAACCTTCGCAAACCTCCAATGAATGTTCGCACACTGCGAGAAAAAATCACGGTAAATCCCGTACTGATTACTCCAGACTTCACCGTACTTTTTTTAACAGGCAATACCGTACTTTTTTTTTACAGGCAACACCGTACTTTTTTTTTACAGGGAATCCCGTACTTTTTCCCCCGGCAATCCCGTACTTTTAATACGTATCAAAAACTGCTATTTTTTTTTTGGTCGGTTGACTCTCTTTTTTCAAGATCCTGATCTACTAAAACTGCTGAAGTCGGGCTCCTGGACCCCCCTTCCGACCACTCGTTGAAAAGGTCTTGACGAGACCTATCGAAAGGTGCAATAAAATTTTTCAGTCGGTCGACCCCCTTTTTTCAAGATCCTGATGTGGACAATTCTTGGAAGCGGCCTTTGTTGGGACCAGATCTGGTCTTTCCTACGGCATGGACTGTACGGAAGAACGGTAACTACTGTTAAAAGACTACGGAATATTTTGTAAAACAAGTATGGTAAATACTGTAGACTGTACGGTGGATACTGGTTTTTGAAGTACGGTAAAGTTTGGCAAAAAATTGTCCAGGATTTACCGTCATTTTTTCTCAGAGTGCAGACTTACGAAGAATCTTTGCAATGAAAACGTAATGGTCGGACTCATAGCCAAATAGTGGCGTGACAAAAAGGTCACGCCATAAATTGTGACACAAAATTCACGCCAATAAACGGCGTGACATGTGAGTCACGCCCTTATTTGGCCTGCATGACAAAGAGTTTTATGAGAAAAGTCATGCATGCCTAGAAATTCACACTAGAATTGGGGTGAATATTTGAGTCACGCCGATTTTTGGCGTGACTTCTGTCATGCCGTCTTTTGGCGTGACACTTTATTCATGCCCCTGAAGCGGCACGAAGTCACGCCGGTAGATTTTCAGTGTGTACCGAGAATTTTCGTGAATTTCGATTAACCGATAATTTAATTAGAATTTTCTCGTACATTTACGACCTGAGTCGTAACAAAATGTGTCGTTTGAAAACGACATACTTGTTCTCCAAAATGTCGTGAATTTACGATCATTTTCAACAGTGTAAATGTTACTTAAGAACCAAACACGATAGGGGAAAGGGGGGGGGGCAGCACTAGGACATAAGGAGGTGCGAACTCTTACACAGCTGAAGATTGTATAGCGCCAGCGCTGCCTACTGCCTAAAGTCCACAGCAACAACACGCAATTTGCTTTGTTACATTCGTAGTCTGTACACGGACTATCGCGAATGAAGCAGCCTGCTGCAAACGAGCACTGTCCCTGACAAACTGATGGCCAGGTCAACTCGAGAACAACAGAGCAACTAGGGTGTCAACCGAGGGCATCAGGGGGGCACCTCGGGGTTAACTCGGGGGGAACTAGGGGGACTAGCCTCAACACTAGAAATACGCTCCCAACAAGCACCGTTATCTTCATCTCGAATGGCCTGATTCCAAAAGTGTCCCTACTTGCCTTTCTGTATCCGATGCCGAAACGAGGGGTGAATGACTCAGCGTTCTGGTGTACACATGAGTACATGAGTACGGGTGAGTACACCTTACTTTGCTCACAAATTTCGCATTTGTAAACGTTTAAGGGCTTTATTTAGCGTTTTAAACGACACTCAACGCCAAATCAGGCGAAAAAGTACAGACTTTCACCCTTATTAAACTTGTGAGTACACTGAGTACGGGCAAATTTGTACACATGAGTACACTTGTGATTCATCCCTCGTGCCGAAATCCGGGTGCTTCTGCAGCCGTGCCCGGCTCCCCACAACTGTACATCGAACGAAGGTGTTTACCTATCCAGGGATACAGGAGACACTGAATCCTCCAGGAAAGGAATTCACTGTGCCTGGGAACGTGCATCCACTATACATACCTTGGAAACTACAGGCAAAATTTCAAATGTGCGATACAGACGATTTGATGGCAGGAATGAGTTTATCTCAACAAGACGAATAAGAAATGACAAGCATGTTATGAGGTTTAGACTGGTGGAAAGTCAAGAGCAATCGATGTCAACAAGGTAAAAATTCCAATGCTTACGCATTGCACGGTGTTCCGGTTGTGGAAATCAATTTGAAGTCTGTCGTCTAAACGTTAATTACGTTAATTTTACCGTTATTTACATAACTTTGAATCCTACCGGTATTTTTACATCCCCAAACCTGATTCAGTTAACAAAATGACCATCTCAGTCTATCTCGCGATCTCGCGATTTACAGTGCTCATGTTCGTCGAAAGTCATCCGCGTTCTGAAACCACCCCTCCCGAGTTTATAAAGTTTGTCAAACCAACCGTCGTGCTGGTTACAGAATTGAGGAACACATCACAAGGGAACCGCAGCCTTTAAAAGCAAGCCAAACAGTCCAACCTCAGCAACAATGGAGGGGCAGTTTCAATGCGCGACTACTCGTTTTTCCACCCTCGCGATTTTCGAATGGGCGCAGACGCCGAGAAAATTGTTGCCAACCGCCGAAAATTAATTTATTGCGTCTTATCTGCTACGAACTTTTTACTGACAGACTTCAAAGATGTTCCAATGTCGGGACATCGCGCAATGCGTTAGCATTGGAATTTTCGAATTTCACGGCGCTTTGATTTCTTTTTATCAGCGACTTGAAATTTTGACAGTTGGTACGATGGCACCGTGTCGTTGCCATGGAGACTTTTTTTTCATGTTTTAACCATTTTCTCAGAACACTGACGATTTCTTGTCACTTTAATATGGCAGGAAGTTTAGTTTTGAGGAGTGGCACATTTTCTCTTTGAAACGTTTCTGGAAAATGTGAACGGATAAGGGTGCTTGATTGTTGCAAATTTATGTTTTAGTCGTTTACGTTAAATTCTCACGATAAATTTTTGAAATTTTCAGGAATCTTTATTTGATTATTATAACGAGTAGGCGGGATCCATTTTCCAATCAGAAGATACCGGAAAAAAAAATAAGAATCTGAGCCGTCCCGGGCAATAGGGGTCCTCCTTCGTCGGAACCCCTAAAAAAAGTTGGGTTTTGGACTCAGAAAATTTTAGTGAATTCCGTTCCTGGAGGTACAGTGTCCCTGGGTAGGTTAACACCTTCTTTCGATGAACAGTTGTGGAGCCGGGTGCTGCTGTACACTGTTAGAAATTCAGTCATAAATTAGCGACAAGAAAGTCGCTAATTTTCATAGCGACGGAAATCGTTCTTAAACTGCTTCGTCGTAACTGAACGACTAAAAAATAATTTCTCTACGACAATGTCGTAATCACGACAAGGTAGGTTTACGCCAGACCGCGTCTTGTCGTAACAGGCTTCGCGATGTCCCGCTGCCTGTTCCTCCAATCCACGCCTGGCGTACCTACCTTGGCCTGCGGCGCTAGCCTGCCTTCGGCAGGCCATGGCTTGCCCATCGTCGGTTACTTCTAAATTGTTGCATGCTGGGGTCTCCGCCCCCCAGACCCCCCTTTATTTCAGATAGAGTTGCTTCATCTTCAGATAACACTATCTTGACCCTTGTTACTGTTAAACTTGCCGGGGCTGGGGGGCTCTGACCCCCCTTTCTTCAAGGCAGAAGGCATTTGCCTACAGAAAACTCGATTTTTCGCCGTTTTTTAGGTGTTTTTCGCCTATAAAAACTGAACCAGTTGAGCTAGGATAGTGAAATTTCGCGTGTGCTGAGCCAAGGACATACCCAAAAAGTGTGCAAAATCTCAGCCAGATCGGCCGAGCCGTTCAGGAGGAGTAGTGCTGACAGACAGACACACAGACAGACAGACAGACAGACAGACAAAACTTTTCAACCACACTTGAGTAACGGGCTTCGCTATCGCTCAGCCAATTACATATTTTGACACCTGAAATCTCCGAAAAGTTGGAGAAAAGTTACAATTTTGCTCACTTGTTTACGATTCGTTCATTTACGATTCATAACACAAATTTACGACAAGAGTCGTAAATGTACGACTGAAGTCTTAACTGTACGCGACACTGGTGTAAATGCCATCAGGATTTTCTGATTGAATTTCTGATTTCCAATCAGAAATCAGGATTTTCCTGATTGATTTTCTGATTTCTGATTGTTAATCAGGAATTCTTTCTGATTTCTGATTGTCAATCAGAAAAAATCCTGATTGAGTACCGACATCAGAAAATTCCTGATTTCTGATGTCTGAGTGCCAATCAGAAATTTCCTGATATTTGATTTCTGATTGGCAATCAGAAAATTTCTGACTGCTTTTCTGATTGCTGATAGCCACTCAGAAATCAGAAAAGAACATCAGGAAATTTTGATGGTGTCAAAGTACAGATGCCTATAAAATGGAAAGTATTTGCGGTATCGGGTTCAAATTTGGTATGTGACATGTTCAGCCGATTTGACTAGGGCCATTTTAATTTCATACACATCGGATCATCTTTAGTAGCATCTCGAGGCCTGATCACGAGCTATCGAAAATCGGACTTCAGACTTGGATCGGACTCAGTTTTGACCCCCCAGAGAAGTTATCATCAATTTTGAATGTGCCCCGGCACGGTCATATCACCGATGTTTGAAGTTGTCTTACCAATCAGAACTGTCCACTCAGAAAAAAACACAATCAGAAATAGTCAATCAGAAATGGTACCAATCAGAAATCATCAATCAGAGGTGCGCGAAAATACATCAGAATTTTCCAATCAGAAAATATCCTGATTGACCAATCAGGAATTTCCTGATTGAAATCCTGATGAATTTTACACCAGTGGAGGGGGCAAAAACTCGCGCAATCATGTGTACACGGCCCCCGAAATCACACGCGAATTATTGAGAATCACGCGAAATCAAGCAATCCGAAATCAGCCAAAATCACTGAAATCGACCGAAATTAGGCAGAATCACACGAAACCAGGCCAAATCAGTCCGAAATCATTTCTTTCCGAACACAATCACACGCAATCACGCTCAACATCACCCTGGTGCGTCGCGAGATAAGGCAAAATCAGCCATGAAATCAATTAAAACCATGCGCAATCATTGCGTTCTCCGAATCATGTGTACACGAAAATCCCGAGTTTTTGCCCCCTCGACTGTACGACATATTTCAAAGACATTTTACGATTGTTCGTAACCTTACGATTAAGTCGTAAATTTACGACTTAATTCGTTTTAAAACGAAACGTGTCGCTATCAAAATTAGCGACAAATATGTCGTACATTTACGACTCAAGTCGTATATTTACGACTTGAGTCGTAACAAAATATGTCGTTTAAAAACGACCTAATTGTTCTACAAAATGTCGTAAATTTACGATTATTTTTAACAGTGTAGGAGCACCCGGATTTCGGCAACGGATACAGCTAGAGGGGCAAGTAGGGGCACTTTTGGAATCGGGGCAACGAGACAAAGACAACGGTGCTAGTTTGGAGCGTATTTCTAGAGTTTGGGCGAGTCCCCCAAGGTGCCTCCCTGATGCCCCCTGGTTGACACCCTAGTTCTGTTGTTCCCCCGAGTGGGCCTGGCTCTCAGTTTGTCAGGGGCATGTCTTTCAGCACTGGTTGCACTGTAAAAAATTCCGTACTTTTGAACGGAAATGGTACAGACAAATAAACATAGTACGGAGATACGGAGAAAAGTACGGAACTGCCTCTGCCTCACTCGTCCCGCGTCGCGTCGCTCTGACCGACGCCGTACTTGCGATTGTACCAGTCTTATGTGTTGTCTGTACTTGAATAAACCCTGAGTTTATTAGCCATACCTCCTACTCTCTCTTCGGTTCTCCTCCCTAAACCCTAAACCCGCACCCCTCGGGAGGGCGGCTGAGCTGCAAAGGGCTTTGGATCAATTCGCGCAAGTACACCCGGGACAAGCGGCCCTGCCAGCACCAGCACCGGCACCACCACAAGCCCCGCCCGCGGAGCCACAGGAGCCCGCGGCGCCCGGGCAGATCCAACCAGTGATCCACCAACAAGTCAACTATAATGTAGTACAACAAGTACTATACGTCAGGCGGCGCACGGGCCGCACCCGCATTAGATGCGCCCTGTGTGGCCGGCGCCACACGTGCGCCTACTGCCCAAATGTGTGAGGTGGACAGTAAACGTTGATCGGGCTTCGCCGTAAGGCGGGCCACAATGTGTGAAACACTATGTAAACAGTGATCGGGCTTCGCCATAAGGCGGGCCATAATGTGTGTGCACAACGCCATGTGATTTATTTTTTTCTCTTTTTCAAATGAATGGTTCATGTTACATGTTTTTACCTACTGTACAAAGTTTTTAGTTTTTTTAATACATGTGTTAACCTTACCTTGCTTCTCGCTCGTGTAATCCTTGCTCGATGGTTGTTGCTTTGAAAACCTGACGGCTTCTGAACTTCACTTGCACAGCTTGAATAGCTGCTTGAATGAAACTGCATTGTTTTGATTGTGCCGCACCTACACTAATAGTTTGTTTGCTTGGCTTGAACGATTCTAATCCGAACAACACTAACACTTCAATTAATCGGCACTTTATCATTTGAGCTTTGGCAAGAATTTCAGTTCCTGGTTCTTGTTCATCATAAACCTCCATTGAAGCTAATGATTGATTATGACACACCAATGGTGGAGTCAACACAGTTAAAAACTTTTCCGGAGTCATACTGACAAGACACGGAATTCAAACGTACTGAACCTGGCGTCACACTGACACAGACCAGTCCTTGCTTTCAAGAACCAACTGCCACACAGCTCGCTCCAAATTAGCAAACAAGGAGTTCAAGAACAAAATTTATTTTGAAACTCAAATCAACAAGTGAGCACAGGCCACCCCAGGCCTTGTTTTTTTGCAGACGAAGGAGAGAGATAGCAGTGCACACACTGCTCAGAAATGTTTTTGAAAATCACAAGATGAACGCTTGCACCG